ATTATAGATTATAATTGATTTCATTCATAGTAATCGATTACCTGTGGTATAAAAATTGTAAAGCCCAATGTACGCCCTCCTCCTGCCACTGGGAAACGAAAAGGCACCTAAGAACAGCTACATCCAGAAAAGTTGCAGCTCGAACGTCCGACTCGACATCAGGATAGCTACTGGCCAACGCTGCACCGGTTGCATCGCCAGAAGTTTGTTGGGTGATCGAAGCTTTTCTCTTCGACTTATCCTGAGCTTCCTTCTCCGTCTTATGCTCATCTTTCTTCTTCTCCGTACTCCTAACGAACAAATTTTCATTCATACCGCGTGTACAAAGGGTGATTGTTCTTTTATGTATCTATAAAAATCAACCAACCCATAACTCGTGGATCTTTCGTGATACTGTTTACAGGTATCAAGTCCTGAAATCGCTGTAACTTGTTCTATTGTGAGTTTTGAGAAACCTGTCGACCTACCCATTGCCACGTGGTAAATACTAGGTTCACTCTAAAAGGAAATAATATAACATAATTATATTGGGTGTACAAGAAAATAATTTCGGTTTATATAATTCGGTTGTCGAATTGTAATAATAGTTGAATTTTCGTACCCCATCGTGTGCTCTTTCTGACCTGTTGACGGACGGTAGCCTGAAGATCACCTAACATGTGCATTCTATTATTTCATCGATCAGAGGGGAATCGATTAAACGCTGTTTGCTCTAGATACTCACTACGTGTTCGTCCTCGGCGCCAGAAGTCTCCTCTGGGATCGTCTCGGGAAATACCGTGTCCTTTGGCGACGACACAGACGAGAACTGAATACGAACGAGTGACAAATTAAAAACTGAGTAAAATAAAATGAATCCTCATCTTGAAACTTACATCTTCGCTCTGCTTCGTCGGTTTATCGACGCTTTGGTCAGAGAACGCATTGGCAGACTGACTAGGAGGACTTTCGACATCTGACAATCAAGAATTAAATAAATAAAGAAAGGAATTTATGAATCAATTTAATCTTTATTAATGTCTTGTATCAATTAATTATAATTCATAGAAGAATCTAAATCAAATTTTCACTACGTCTCATAAAATTAAAAAATGTTGAAGTAGTACAGTTGCTCTTACTTCCTCCGACGAAGACGTCGTCGGACACTTGATGCTGTTTAGAAGCCTTGAAGGAGCGACTCCATAAAATCTGCGGTTTAATTTTGCAATGGGCGGTAAAACATCGCGTGTCTGGGTGACGGCACTCGTACATAGCCGACCATATTTTTAAGCCGTTTTCTAGTCGTAAATTCGTTTTGAAATCGATGTCTTTCAAATGATTGCACAGCGGTGCAAACAGATAGACGAATAGCTGCGCCAGGAAGTACAGCCAGTGTTAATTAATCATTGGAAGTATTTAAATGAACTTAGACGACGACTGATTGCTTACGCTTATCACGGGTATGGAAAACAAATAATAAAATGGATTCCCGGCGTCGGCGTCTGGTTCGGTGCATTCTTCGGCGGAGTCGAGAAGAATCCAATGTAGAATGTAGAGAAGCGTCGTTTCCGTCGCTCCGAGAGTTTGAAAATCCTTCCTTCGGGATCAGTGAAAGCGGCGCTCGTTGGATGGTGTGAAAAATTGTCGACGAAGACGGTATATAATAGAAGAAAGACTTACCTATTGTGCAGAAGATTGGCGGTGGCGTGGAGAACATAGGGAAGGGCAGCTTGGATCAAACGCCAGCGTGGCACCGTGCCCAGTATCACCCGCAAAGAGGGTAGTAGATCATTGTGCAGATTTTGTACTAACACTTTCTCGAGTGACTACAAACGAACGTTTACCGTTTTTAATTGACACCCGGCTCAATTATGTATTTAACCACAATCGTTAAAATACTAACCGAACAAGCTTCCTTCGTCAACTACGTGTGCGTTAAAAAAAGGACATAATTAAAATATTAGTCTCGTGGTTTATCAAATGTGTTACGAAAATTATTGAAAAATTGTAAGACGTCAAGAAAACTTAATAACGGGAAGAAGAATACTTGCGATAAGCTACTAAAATCGTTGCATCGCATAATTATGTACATGAGTTTTCACAAGTACAAAATATTTTATTAACAAAACGGATGCAGTGTAGATATAAAAATATTAATTATTAAAGGCCGATTATTAAAAGAGTTAAAAATATCAAGCTCGTGATTGAATTAATTAATGTCTACTTGATTCTGATAACATTCGTGTTTATATGAAAAAAAGCTTTAGAAAATGTTTGAAGTCGGGATGTGAAAAAATTCGTAGAATAGATTACCAAGCTAGTTCAAGCGAACGTTCATATCTGTACAAGAAACATGCAATTAGGCTGTACAGTAGTAGATATACAATTTATACAGTGATAAATCCTCTATCTAGTGATGGAACTAGTATACACAGTGTAAGAAAATGAATTGCACAAGTTGGTTGACAAGAAATGGGGGCAGGCAGGTATCAGGCTTTAGCGAACTTACATGATGGCCTGGCGCGTGTTGACAGAACTGCAGGTGACACGTGGAGCGGCAGCGTGGAGGAGGTTACTTTGTTAGTGCAGGTCGGATAGGTGTTGGAAATTAAATGGCTCACGGGATATGGTTGATAAGGAATTTCGCACAAACGTGAAATCCTCAAGTATTTCACCGTCAATTCAATTATACATAAATTATAACATCGAGATTTTGATTCGATAAATTGAGAAAAATTTATATAATAAATCTGCTAAAAAATTTTTATAATTAAAAATGATTTTATTTAAAATCTGACCGAATTTCTTTTATCATTTAAAATCAATATTAATAGTACTATTCTTTTATTATATTAAAATTTGTATCGCGAAAATCTTTGAACTTTTCATCTGTGCATGAAAATTGTTTTATATAACAAATAAATAAAAGGCAGCACAGTATAATTGTCAAAGGCAATCCCCAAAGCAAAATTGTACAAACCATGTAATCCCTGCATTTAAAACTGTATAATCGTTTTTATTAGACTTTCATTTTTATTGTTGCTTTAAATCAATTTGCCAGCCCACTTTGTTACACGATTTACACGTACACACTAATCTTCACGTACATATATACTGATTTACACTGTGTGCTCCGTTGCACAGCTCGAGAACATTTATAAAAGGGAAAATATGAATTTTTACCGTGCAGGATGCTTCGTGAACCTTGCCAAGTTTCGCACGAATGAATGGCCTGTAATATGCAAATTTTGTATTTTTCTCTTGTGACATGTACACACTATATCTAACGTAATAATGCGCATTTGCTGCTACCAACGAGCTGTCTATATCGTGATTCACGTCATTACATAATTGTTACGCGTCACTTTATTAATAACAATGGCAAGCTGTTTATTATGTTAAACGTGTTTTAATCGTTTCTTATTTATTTTGAATATCGAGTATGAAACTAGGTCTTAATTCTCCGATAAGTTCCCTATTGGTAAATAAAATAAAACTTTTTATATAATATACCTCAGCTTTCGCCAAAGGAACATCTGCACCGGAATCGGCAAAACCTGTTCCTGGAGATTCCCATCGAAGGACCGGCGTTTATGCATGTTTCCAGTAGAAACGTCTAAAATCGTTCAGACCCCCCGGGTTATAGACGGCGAGAAATCCAACGCGTATTAAAGAAAAACGAAGAAGCTATCCATTATAGTATCTGGATGCCACGTGTCTCACCTGACGGTAGCGAATACTCTTTCGTTCACTTCCAAACGACATCAGCCGGGTTCTCTCGCGTTACGATCGACACGCACGGAAGGGCTCGCCCTGTTATCACCCCGTAAATCAATCTCACCCAATATCAGAACGATCTGCTTTTCACCTGCGCCCGAACACGTTGCGCTACTACGTACCTACGTTCAGATACAGCGACGAAGGGGCTGGGGATCGAGGGAAAATCTATTCTCTCAAAAGGTCGATCGCGCACGTTGCCCCCGAAGATTCGGCGAAGATCGCATCTCCGGGAACGATTAATCGACGGCGGAGGAACAAGGAAAAACGAGTAACCGTGCGGATCAGGTATCACGTGCGACACGCACGGCCTAGTGACACGGTTGCATCGTTTCTCGTGAACAGGTACGCACTCGCCGAAGGGCGGACGCACCACCGCGGCAGGATCGTGAGTAACTGAAAGACAGACTCGGCGGACGTAATGCTGTTGGAAAGGATGGGAATGCGCGCGCTACTCTTGGAAAATCCAATGCGCCGGTCGTTCCATCGATCAGCCCAGGAATCTGCTCCGCTGGACCACCCCTACTTCACCAGGAGCGACCCACCCTTCGCACCGGCGTGCCTCTACCAACCCACTTACCCACCTAGCCCACCTTCGCTTCAACCAAATCTTTCCGTCCCTCGGCAATCCTACTGATCTGAGCTTCCGCTGAGCATTTCGCAACATCGTGTCATTATACAGTACCTGAGATTTCGGAGCGATCGATCACTTTCCCTTAGACAGAAGCCTCAACCGTTTCCCCCAATATTCTATTAATAACTCTTTTTATTGCAAAGGTTTAGGAATTGAAGCATAAATCATTACCAGTGAGAGTACAATTTTATTTCATGATCCATCAAGTATACAAAAGATAAAAGATAGAAGGGAGTACAGA